GACCCAACCATAAAATTATTTTCGTTGCTACTTCATAACTGTAATGTTGCTACTGTTATGAATCGTAATGTAAATATCTGATATGCAGGTGACCCCTGTGAACGGGTCGTTCGACCGCCAAAGTGGTCGCGACCCACAGGTTGAGAACCGCTGCATTAAGGGGATATCACAGCTTAAAAAAAAATTTTTTTTTTCTTCCATCTACCCAATCCTGTTTTCACCACCTTCTCTAGGTGTTATCCCAAGCACATAACCCAAAATCACTCTATCCACTAATCTCCATCTCAGAGCATGCTTCTTGGGAACCCACACTATGCCACCTTCCAACTTGTAGCTATACCTAAGCCAAATTGGAACTCCCAGACATCTTATCAAAGGCCCAGAAGGACCCAAGTAGAAAAGAAGAGGTAGATGCTGCATGGTGATTCTCTCTTTTGACTACTGGATTCTAATCACTTTTTTTCATCTGCTAATTCAATGTATAAAGCTACTTTCGTATCACTTCCATCTACGATCTCTAAAGTTCATATCTAGCAATGTCCTTATGTTAACCTGACCTCAACCCATGTTAAAGTATGTCCCACACGTTAGTGTATTTGGAGAAAACTGAATTACTAAGATTACATTTCCCTAAGTCTTTACTGGCAATAACTTCTAGCTTTGCTTTGGGAAACTGAGAATGTACTAGTTCTCACTTACCATGTTCATGTTTTGTGTGTTAAAGCCTCCCAGAAGTAAAATGATGCTGCTGCAAATCTGATCAATAATCATCTGACCACAAAGGTAAATATAAAACTGGCGGAGGAATCTGGTCTGGTACAGGAATTCTTTCCTGCCAAACAATCCCTGTAAAAATAGGAAACAAAAGAGTAGTCATTACATCATAGTAAAAAATAAATGCGTCTAATTGAAAAGTGTAAACTTTACCATATCGGGTGGGAAGACTCTTTTACATAGATAGATAATTTTCTGAGGAGTCACGTACCTTGATCATCATATCTGGCAGCAACAAAAATTTGGTCCCAGGGCTTCTCGCATGTTTAATAGTGGCAATGGGTGCTAAAGCAAAATACAGTTTTATTTTCTGAGCCAGCTCTGGCATGGTGGAAAATGCAATAAAGCCTGCAAGAGAAGAAATATGTCAGCGTGGATACGGAATATTCTCGAACTCATAAAATGCTTACTTACTTTTGTCAAGATATTTCAGTAATTACTGGTGATTGTGTCTTAACTCGCCCATGAAATTATAAGTTCATTGAGGGGGAAAAATGACAGCAGGAAAAACGCCTTAGTGGTCCTTCTGACATCTAGCTGATTTGATGTCCAGTAGTAGGGTCTCATTGAATTGGTGAATTTCATTATTCAGTATAATAATGTGGACTTTGTGAGAGAGAGAGGGGTAACTATATTCTTGACACTTTGCTTATGATTTTCATGGTTCTTACTTCGTTTAATTCAAATCTCTACAGTGAAAAAATGAAGAAAAACTGCCTTGTTTATTGATAGCAAGCATGTTCTGTAAAATACCATAATGGGTATAGCAAGGTTTTGCCGGGGTTTTTGTGATTCCCTAATTGTTCTGGAACCCACGTTATAAAGTAATGTAGTAGACAAGTGTCTAGGGAACTGGATTCCAACTCTTATTTTTGCCATTGACTTGGTATGGAACACTAGTTAAGCCAGTCTGTGCCTCAGTTTCTATACCTATAAAATAGAGCCAAATTTCCCAAATTACCACTGTACAGGGCTAATCTCTGTGGAACTTTTGGGAGAAAAAGGCTGTTATATAAATCCAGGGCATGGTCACTATATTGGAAATACTGTGTGTCTATTTCAATAGAGCATGTACAGGCTCTGTCTAGATTGATGCTTGCAGGCTGTGGGGAAGGAGGATGGGTAGAAAAAAAACAACATAAAATCACATGACTTCTGTCTGGTTCTCAGGAGGTGAGCGAGTAATTAAGAAAGACTGGTTCCTTCCCTTCTTTTCTCTTTACATGATTTGTTTTGCCAGTCACATGCAAAGGCAGGCAGAAGAGTGACCTGGTATTAGCTCTGGCTCTCTCAACTGCACCATCAGTAGGACTGGGTTGAAAATACTTTCAAATACATTCCTATTTTCCAGCTTAATTCTGAGTATATAGACTTAATTTCTCAAATGTCAAGATTTGGGAACTCTAGATAACTTCTCCCATCAATTCCTCTCTTTATGTAAAGCAAGTTCGAGTTTTCCGCATTAATAGCTCCGTGGTTGACTAATAGAATCGTCCTAGGCTTGTTTGGCCACCTCCTTCTTCTCAGAGTGACATTTAACCTCATCATTAGCACCTTTGTCTTCATGTCAAGATGAACAATTTAGTATAGGGAAAATGTGTTAAGACCTCTGGAAATGAGCGTAGGAGCAGGCATAACATTTTACCTTTCTGAGAAGTACATGGTGAGACACAGCATCCTTAGGATCAGTTAATGTTGTTGAAAAATCCAGAAAGTACAATGTGAAAGCCAGTCTCTTTTTATTCACTAGAGTATCAGTTAAAATGAACCAATGGCATGTGTGCCCTGAGTTTCCACTGAGTGTTCACCTCTCTCAGAATCCCTTGCACGGGTGATGCCTGGCTGCCTCTGGAGTGCCTTTGGCTCAGAGCCCTTCTCAGCCCCCTCTTGAGAGCTTCCTGATGGCACACACTCTGCCTCTGCTGATCTCCCTTCATTGTGACCTAAGCCAAGCGCATTTTTTTTTTCCTGTTGACTTTGGTCTAATAAAGGGCCAGGATAGCCAGCCTCCACTCCCATCTTCCCAAGTAGGTGATGTGTATCCTTTGGGGCCATGAGTTAAGGTTTCTCACAAAGTCATCAAAACAAAAGCACACCAGCAGTAACTGTCATTAGAAAGGGGGGGGGGGGGGGGGGGAGAAAGACTTGAGTAAACTCCCTGCAGCAGTTCTGTGTATAGTATGATGACAGTGCTTAGTGTCTATTGATTGTCTGTTATGTGCCAGACACTGAAGATTATGTTTCATTCGTTCAGTGCATTTATTGAGTGCATATTATGGGCCAGGAACTGCTCTCACAGCTGTATTAGACAAAAGCCTTGCTTCACAGAGCTTATATCAGCCATATTGAACAGTCCATCACCTCTAACACCCCTAAGAGGGAGCTATTATCCCCATTTTATAGATAAGGAAACTGAGGCCAGAGGGATTAAATCATTTGCTCAGTGAGATTTACCTAAGAGGTGGTAGAGCCAACATTTGAATACATATTTGACTCCAAAGCCTTTGCTCTACCTACTCTACCTGAAGCCTCCCTCAGTTTCATACCCATTTCCTGTCGCTCTTAGAGTGGCTGAAGAGAATAAGGTCAGATGAGTGAAGTGTGAGAAGACTGACCCCAGGCGCAGCTGTACACCATATGCTCACATTTCCTCTGAGTATACAAACCTGGTTTCCTTTGAACCTACCCATAGTGGTGCCCTGTGAATAGCCGACATAATAGATCTTTTCCTGGCCCGTTTTCTGCAAAATAAAGTTTATGACTGCAGGAAGGTCAAACCTAGCCATCTCATCATAACTACAAGAGGAAAAGACAAAGTTATATGAAAAGTTATAATCAGAAACAAACAAAAACAGCCCCCGGAGTTTATAAACAAACCCTTGAGTTGTCAGACCCAAGACGGTTACTGTGTCCCCCACAACACTCAGTTTGGACTTGTTTCAAACCTGTGATGCCCGGGTGCCTCAAAAACCACAGGTTGTCAGCAAACTGCTATTTTCTATAGATGTTATAGAGCCATAATCATCTTCAATGAATATTTACTGGGCACAAGACCTGCCTCCCTAGTAGAGGTGTCCTGTTGTTCTGTTAGTAGAACAGCAGATGGTCATGCAGATTCACTTATATGAAAAGTATTAAAGATGCTATGGGGCCCTTCTCTGATGAAATAGATAAAAAGTAGGTTGAATGCCCATAGGTAATTTAAATACAAATACTAAAAGTCTTTTGTAAGAGTGTAAGAAATGTGTTAGTTGAACTGATAGTCCCTAAGGCTTAATAGTTTCCTTATATCTTTAATGTTGTCTGATCTCATCTCCTCCTGGGGGTACCAGTCTTTGTCATAACTCAGAGAAGAGTTAGTCCCAGGACATCCATCTATAAGGAAATGGACATGCACTACTCTCATTCCAGTCTTGATCACCTGACACCACCCACCATTCTCACCACATTCGCCAGACCCAATCTTCTTAAGGAACGTAATTTTCCCCACTACTTTCCCAAAAGAATCACTAGTCAATTAAGGCAATTGCAGGCTATGCTATTAGGATATGGATGAGCCAACCAAAGTAAATTTTCCAAATGCTAGAAGTTACGATTTTTTTACCCAGTTCTTCTAAAGACATCCACATCCACCTCCTCTCAAGACTCTCATATACCTGAAGGCCCAGAACTCATCCTGGTCTATGGAGAGGGTCTTGTGTTTCCGGGACCAGGTGTTTCCCCTGCTGTTCCCCAGCCACACGTCGAAACCAGCATCGGCCAGGATGAAGCCCAGGCTGTTGTTGGGCAGGTTGGAAATCCAGTTGCTGGCATCGCCAAGCAGGCCGTGCTGCAGTAACACCACAGGCCTGGAACCTACAGAAAAAGAGAATTTCAACCGGGGGAAATGTTCTCTACCCTTCTGGTTATCCCCTGCTATGCAAAGGCTTTCAAGTTAGACAAACCTGTGTTTAATTGTTGATTCAGCTGCTTGCTAGCTGGATTATCTTGGTCAGTTACTTAACCTTTATGTGTCGTGATTTCCTCATCAGAAAAGTAGAATTTTTGTTATGATGAAATGAAATCGTGCACAAGGAGCAGATGGCACAATGCATGGCACAGAGAACGAATCAAGGCGCATCACCCACTGTTGTTTTGCTTGTTTTTAATCCTCACCCAAGGATATTTTTCCATTGATTTTTAGAGAGTGGAAGAGAGAGGGAAACACAGAGAGAAATATTGATGTGAGAGAACCACATTGATTGGTTGCCTCCTGCATGAACCCCGACCAGGGCCTGTGCCAGAGAGGAGCCTGCAACGAGGTATGTGCCTTTGACTGGAATTGAACCTGGGACCCTTCGGTCTGCAGGCCGATGCTTTTCCATTGTTGTTTTTGTAAAGTTATTATTACTAGACTTGTCTGGGCACCTGAGAGGATACTGAAGTGCTCCAGGAGCTGGTATAATATAATGATTAAGATAATTATATATAATAATCATAGCTATTATAAATTAATAAGAATAAAAAATTACATTGTTATGTATTTATACTATGCATACATTATAATATGTTACTATACTATGTAATGTATAATATAACAAATGTATAATTATATATAATTACATATGTATATATTAATGTTATAATAAAATAATTATATAAATACTAGATATAGTTATTGATATTATTATATTAATTATATACACATATAAATATACACATATATGAATATATTATATATCCTAGTGTATTAATATTATACTGTATGTAAGTATATGTTATTTATAATTATTTATATTCTAATATTAATATATACAAATATATGCTTATTCTATATATGTAATGGCTTAATGATTATGGGTGCTTCATGTCTGAAAAACCCACAAGCCAGCGTGAAGGATCTCCCGATGTTTAAATATGGGAAAATTTGAGCATCAAAATAAATGATTGTAATAAATTATATCCTATTATATAAATTGAGAATGCATGACTCAATATTGATATCAATGAAGTGAATAAATAATTAGGGGAGAAGTAAAAGCTCTTATTTACAATAAAATTTAAATAAATATAGAAAGATTGATGGCATTATCAAATCATCAATGGATGCTAAAATTAGTGAATAAAGTTTGAAGAGATACAGTATATTTACATATCCTGAAAGTATCTCCTCACAAATATTTATTAATTACAAAGGGAAGAATGCTAACTCTATAATAGACAAATTTGGCAGACACCATCTTAAGGAAGTGATCAAAGCTAATATCACCAAATAGAAGTGAACACTTATACTACTCAAAAACATTAACTCAAAATGAATTAAAGACTGAAATGTAAGACCTGACACCTAGAAAAAACATAGAGAAAAGCACCCTGACATTGGTCTTGGCAATATTTTGGGGGATATAACTCTAAAGCACAGGCAACATAAGCAAAAATAAGCAATTGCTACTACATCAAACTAAAAAGGTACTCACAGCAAATGAAACAATCAACGGAATGAAAAAGCAACCCATGAAACAGAAGAAAATGTTTACAAACCATGTGTCTGAGAAGGGATTAATATCCAAAAAGTATAAGGAACCATACAACTCAATAGCAAAATTCAATTTCAAAATGGGCAAAGGTTCTGAATGAACATTTTACCAAAGACATACCAATGGCCAATTGGTACAAGAAAAGGATCTTAATATCACTAATCATCAGGAAAATTAAAATCAAAACCACTATGAGATAGCACCTCACACTTGGCTATTATCAAAGAGAAGGGATAACCAATGTTAGTAAGTATGTGGAGAAAAATGAATCTTTTTACACTATGACTGGCAAAGTAAATTGGTATATCCATTAGGGAAAATAATACGGAGGCTGCTCAAAAAAAAAAATTAAAAATGGAACTACCATATGATCCAGCCATCCCACTTCTAGATATATTTTCAAGGCAAACAAAATTAGTATTTTGAAAAGGTATGTAGACTCCCATGTTCATTGCAGCACTATTTACAATAGCTAAGATATGGAAACAACTTAAATGTCTGTCAAATGATGAATGGATAAAGAAAATATGGATAAAGAAGATGTGATATATATATATCTCTCTCCTATATAATAAAAGCCTAATATGCAAATTGACCAAACAATGGAAGGACCGGTGGAATGACTGTTTGCTATGACACACACTGACCACCAGGGGGCAGATGCTCAATGCAGGAGCTGCCCCCTGGTGGTCAGTGAACTCCCACAGCCAAACTCCTATGCCAGCCAATCTTCCGTGGTCCCTCCTCCCACCCCACCTGCCGGCCCCGATGGCCCCAATCTGGGCCTATCGGCCAACCTTCTGTGGTCCCTCCCTCCCCTCCGCCAGCCAGCCCCCATCAGTCCCTCCTCACCACTGGCCCCCATCGGCCCCTCTCCTCCCTGGCCGGCTGACCTGATTGCCCCAATGGGACTGGGCACGGCGGCCCCGATTGCCTCCAATGGCCAGCCAGGCCAAGGAACCCCACTCCTGCACGAATTAGTGCACCTGTGGGGTCTCTCGGCCTGGCCTGCGGGATTGGGCTGAAACCAGCTCTCCAACATCCCCTGAGGGGTCCTGGATTGCGAGAGGGCACAGGTCAGGCTGAGGGACCCCACTGGTGCATGATTGGGGCTGAGGAAGGATGCAGGAGGTTGGCCAGCTGGGGAGGAACCTCGGGAGGGCTCCAGGGTGTGCCTGGCTCATCTCACTCAGTCCCGATCAGCTGGACCCCAGCACCAAGCTAACCTACCGGTCTGAGCATCTGCCCCCTGGTGGTCAGTGCACGTCATAGTGAGCAATTGAGTGGCCTTAGCATATCATTAGCATATAATGCTTTGATTGGTTGAACGGATGACTGGTTGACCGGACACTTAGCATATTAGGCTTTTATTATATAGGATATGCATAACCCATGGACACAGATAATAGTATGGTGAAGGCCTGGTTAGGGGGTTGTGGGAGTGGTTTTTTTTATATATATATATATATATATTACTGACTTCACATTTCAATTAAGCAATAAAAAGTGTGGATTCTGCTTTTTCTCAGGGCTACAGACAACCCTCTATTTTCTTAGAGTGTGTAAATAAAGCCTGTGTTTTCATTTTTTATATAATCTTTCTTTACAGCTTAGAGAAATCTGTTTTGAGTGAGAAAAGACCACTTGGTGCCAGCTGTGAGAACCCACAGATGTCTGCAGTAAAGCTACAAATTTCTGTTTGAAGAGAGAGATAGCACAGAAATGAGGGGAAGAAGCTCAATAAAACCAGGGAAAGACAAAAAAAATTAAGCTAATATTGTCAATATAGGAATAAGCCATTATCATGTGCTTGATACTCTGCTGCAGTGGGAGAGACACAACTTCATTTCTGTGGTATTTCTGCCGAAATGTATAACCTGAATCTCATTATGAAGATATATCAGACAAGCCAAATTGAAGAACATTGTATAAAATAGCTGTTCAAAACTCTTCAAAAATGTCAAGGTTAAAAATACCAAAGAAAATCTGAGGAATTTTTTCGGCTTAGAAAGGAGACAAATAGACAACCAAATAAAGTGGATGATACTGGGTTGGGGGAGGGGAGGATAGAAATGACTTTGGCACAATTGACAAAATTCGAACATGGACTATGGATTAGATACTAATATCAATCAGTGTTAGTTTCCTCATTTTAATAAATGCATGAGTGAAGGGGATCAGGATATTTTCCTTACTCCTTCCAAATATGCCACTTTGGAATAGGGATTAGCTTTGTGCTGAAGGCATTTGAGTTATTGAAATTCCTTGTCTGCCTAAAAACAGAGCCTCTCAAAAGAACTCAATTGTCATAAATTCCCTGCCCTGAAGCAACTCTAATCTTCTCTTTTTAGGAAAGGAGAAGTTAGCACTAGAATGGGACAAACATTATCATATGCTATCTTATCTGCCATCTATTTTCCCAAGGGCCATTTAGCTTTCCAAAAAGTCATTTGCTTTTCCACAAGTGCTCTTTATCCCTCTCCCTTTTCCCTACTGAGTTAGGTATATAGACCCCAAAAATCTAAGCACCCTTTTGAGTTACTCATCTCTGAGTGTTCCCATACTTATGTGGGATACCCCTGCTAATAAACTTCCTATTACTCCATAAATATTTCTTAATACTGGGGAGGGAAAAATAACTTTTTCTTCTACTCATTTTCGGTTCTATTAGCCTAATGGAAGACTGATGGACAAGAGAAAAATTTTGGACTTGTTTTTCTCTTGTCCATCAGTCTTCCATTAGGCTAATAGAACCGAAAATGAGTAGGAGAAAAAGTTATTTTTCCCTCCCCAATATTAAGAAATATTTAGGGAGTAATAGGCATGATGTCTCAAATTTAATGTCAAAGATATTTGATAGAAAGGAAGTACGTAGTGGCAAAATGTAATTCACAATTGGTAAATCAGGGTAAAGGGTATATGGTAGTTCCTTGTACAATTTTTGAAAACTTTCTGTAACTTTGAAATTATATTAAAACTAGGGGCCCAGTGCACGAAATTCGTGCACTGGGTGTGGGGTGGGGGGAGTATCCCTCAGCCCAGCCTGCCCCCTCTCACATACTGTAAGCCCTCAGCCAGTGA